GTAGGTCTGGCGCTTGGCGTGAAGGCTCCCCCAAGGGTCTCTGGCTCGCTGACGCGCGGTGCCCCCGCCCCCGGCCGCAGGGCTCTGGTCCTTCCTGTGGTTTGTGGGCTTCTGTTTCCTCACCAACCAGTGGCAGCGCACCGCGCCCGGGCCAGGCACTGCGCAGGCGGGGGCCGCGGCCCGGGCCGCGATCGTCTTCAGCTTCTTGTCCATCCTCAGCTGGGTGAGTGCGCAGCCGCGGGCGGGTCAGCGGGCTGGGCTCGCCCCGGTCGGCTGACCGCGGCCTCCCCTTCAGGTGGCGCTCACCGTGAAGGCCCTGCAGCGGTTCCGCCTGGGCACCGACATGTCTCTCTTCGCCACCGAGCAGCTGGGCGCTGGGGCGGGCCAGGCCTACCCCGGCTACCCGGTGGGCAGCGGCGTGGAGGGCACCGAGACCTACCAGAGCCCGCCCTTCACCGAGACGCTGGACAGCAGCACCAAAGGATACCAGGTGCCCGCCTACTAGTGGCCGGCGGGTGCAGACCAGCGCGCAAGGACCGCCCCACCAGAGGCCTCCCGGGACCTCCCTCAGGTCCTCCTGGCTCAGTGCCAGGTACAGAGGGTGGCCAGTGTGGGCTGACCTCGGGCCTGGAGGAGGTGGCCCCTGGGGTGCCTGGGCTGACACCCTCCCCAAGTTCCCTCAGCCCCTGACCCTGGACTTAGGTCCTGATAAGGTCAGCAGGCCTAGGGCGTGTATCCTCCAGCCTGAAGGAGCCAGGCTTGGGGCCCACTCCCCTCCTAGGCCAGCCAGCCTGAGGCTCAGCTGCCCTCCACAGCAGCGGCAGGGGCTGCTGCGACCAGGGACAGACAGCCCCGTCCCCACCGTGTAGCCCCGGGACTGTGGCCACCGTCCCCATCCCCATGAGTCGTGTCTCTCCTGGCTCCTGTAGTGGTGGTTTGCCCAGTAGGGCAGCAGGCTCTGTGCAGAGCACCCTTCCCCTTAGTTGCACAGGCTCGCTGGAGCAGCCCCAGCCCTGTTGATGTTGTGATTGTGGTCAAGTGTTCAGGTTTTCCCTCTTAGTTCCCCACAATTGCCCCGTCTGTGGCCCCTGCCCCAGCCCCTGCCTGCCTTGGCCCAGGCCCCTGCCCAGATATGGGCAGTTCTGGCCCAGAAGGCACCAGATGGCCACCAGCCCTGTCCCAGCCCAAGGGAGGTGCAGAACGTGTGGGTGCCTGGCAAGACAAGCCTGTCCCACGGAGAGGGGTCTAGAGGTTCCATCCGCACACCATGCCTGTGGGGACAGCTGTTCCATGCAAATGCCTTTACCTGGCTTCCTGGATTGGTCCCCCCACCTGCAGCCCTGTTTTGAGGCCCAGCCCGAAGCTGGGGGTCCTCACATGTAGCTGACTACTCATGCATTGCTCGAAGCTGGCTTTTCACATTATCTCAATACCAAACGCGGTTGCTGCCTTTCATTCCTGCAGACAGAGGCCGCCATCGGAGTTGGCATGGAGTGACAGCCCTGTACGTTGTAGCATAGACCAATCATGTGTGGTTAGTTCAGTGAACATGTTTACAATTTTTGTATATATAGACATTCCTTCGGCCACTTCTGAAAGAACAATCCGTGATTGTGTATTTTCAGTGTCCCGTGTCCCAGCTGCACCTTCTTTACAAATAAAGACTGGAAATGAGTTTACCGTGTCCTGGACGCTCCTAGAATCATTTCTGCCCCTGCCCGCCTCGCGCTGGCGGGTGGGGCCCGAGAGGCAGAACTTGGGGAGGGGGCAGGGAGGTATGCCAGGCGGACCCCTGCGTTCTGGGGGCCCCAGTGAGAAGAGTCTGGATAAGCCGAGGTCCACGGGCCCCCAACCACACATCAAACTGATCACTCAGATCAGTCTCCCTAGAATGCTAGAGAAGCCCGCTTCCGCTTTGCCGTTAGTGATAGCAGGAGGACTTCACTGCCAGATGATCCAGCATGAGTGTCGTCTGCGCTTTGGCAGCTGTTGCTTGTCTTCCCACGCGGATTGAGATTTTCCTGGTTTTTTGTATGCTGAGTTGATTTTGATCGTGTCTTGTCCATGTGGACCATTATGCGGAGCCTCAGGTTTGAATCCTATGGAGAATGTTGGTATTTTTGTTTCAGCAGGTTAAGGAGCCCTGGTGGTGCAGTGGTTAAGTGGTTGGCTGCTAATCAAAAGGTTGGTGGTTCGAACCCACCAGTGCTCTGCAGGAGAAAGATGTGGCAGTCTGCTTCCATATAGATTTATTAATTCTGTGGGGCAGTTCTACTCTGTCTTGTAGGGTCGCTATGAGTCGGCATTGACTGAAAGCAGTGGATTTTTGTTTTGTTTTGTAGACCTGGTGGGTTTCAGGCCACAAGTTCCGGCCAGCCTTCTGAGGGCTGTGATTGGGATGTCAGCTGTTGTCAGTCTCTGTAGTGCCTTCAGAGCTGGCCTGCATGTGCGCCACCCAGTGGCCAGTCTGGGGGGTGAACCCAGGAGTTCATGAACAACTTTGTGGGGTCACAGACTTCCATTTTCAGCCCCCTGGCCAGAAAATGGAGGCCGGGTGGCCCAGTGGTTAAGAGCTCAGCTGCTAACCAAAAGTCAGCAGTTCAGATCTACAAGCTGCTCCTTAGAAACCCAATGGGGCAGTTCTACTCTGTCCTAAATGGTCGCTATGAGTCAGAATTGACTCAGTGGCAATGGGTTTTTTTTGGGTTTTGGCCAGAAAATTAGGCCTCTATTTACCCGGCTTGGTGGTGTACTTCCTGTGACTGTGCCTGTCCTTGGGAACAAGAGAAATCTTTATAGGTTAACTATTCTCTCTGGTAAGAATTTTAAAGATCTTTCTCTTTGTCTGATACGTAGATTAAAACATTTTTATCCTGCTTAGCGCTTGTCCTTTTTTTTTTTTCCTTCCATTTTTCTTCAGTGCTAGGAGAAGCACAGTCACGGTCTTTCCAAACGGCCCCTTCCCACCACCTCCTGCCCCTGTGCCTGCCATCAGGTGGACCATGGGGCCGAGTCACTCACGGCCACTCCCCTTCCTGTTTGCCATTGTCTGTGTCTCACATCCTGAGGAGGTGTCCCCAGCTTGGGCATGTTGGCATTTGAACCTGTCTGTTGGGAGTTTTATCCCGGTAACTTTTTCATTGCTACTGTTTCTAACGGGTTCTTTTTCATAACGTCCTGGCTCAGGGAAGCCCAGTGAAGAATGGTGCGTGGAGCCGGCATGCTCGCTTTGCCGCCTTCCAGCTTGGTCATCTTGAGGCAAGTCTGTCAACCTGTGTGTGTCCCAGGTTCCCCTTGTGTAAAAGGACAACGGCAGCTCCAGTCACAAGGGTGGAGGTGAGGATGAAATGAGCGAGCGCGTGCGGAGCCCATGACAGCGTTCAGCACACACCCAGCGCTCAAGCGCTGCCGATTACCATGCTGGGTCTCGCTCCTTGTTTAGGTGGTTGAGTATCTTTACAGAGATCCTGCTGCCCGGGTTGCTCTGCTCTTCTGGGGGCTCAGGGACTTCAGGGTTCTCTGCAAGGAGGGTGCCTGCTATGAGCATGGCCATCACGCACGGGACACCACCTGAGTCCCGGTCTCGGGCAGGTGAGCAGTGCCAGTGCAGTGTGGCTCTGGCCCGGCCGCGGGGCAGAGCAGCAGCTTTGGCCCCTTCATCCCTGTGACGTCCTTCTGCTGCTTTTAGAACGTCTACATTTCTGCTGATCGGACGGCATTTCCCCGTTATTTAGACCTGGCTGTGTGTTGAGAGTTTTTTCCAGTATGTCTCTTCCTGGAAGGTTTGGGCACGGCCAGACCCCAAAAAGTGAGATTTGGGCTTGGCTGCCTCCTGCTGTGAGCAAACCCAGCAGCAGGGCCCCGCTCTCCCCAGGCCCCCTCCATCCCCGTGCACACAGTGACCACCTGAGCCGTAGCGCCTGGCAGATCCGAGCACACCCCTGGTTGCCGGCGCGCTTGGATGGCAGAGAAACTAGGACGCTGGATAACTGCCATATTGCAAAATAAATTTATTTGAAGATAAACTGTCTTATAAAAGGTCAGAGGCAATTTGAGATTCTAGATTCAGCTTGTCTCGTAAAAAGATTAGATTTCAAGTAACACAATTTTGCATCTGCTTTTAATCCTGAATGTTCTTGAACAGCCAACTGTTTATACAACACACTTAACATCTTGCTCCAGCACCTGCAGATGCACAGCTTCTGGCTCTGGGGGCCATAGGTGCTGCAGCCCGTAACTCAGGAGGGCCCAGCTCGGGCCGCCGGGGCCACTGGGACGGCAGGGACAGGCTCTGGCATCCTGGCCCTTCCCTCCCTGGCACCTTCCAAAATCGAGAGAATACACACCAAGACCGACCTGCTGCTGTGGCAGGGGTCTGCCCTGTCCCAAGAGGAAACTGGATGGAACTCCCGCGTGGCTGCATGCCAGCGGGGCAGGGGGCCTCCCTGGGGGCCAAGGGGCCTGAGCGGGTGGCCTCGCCAGGCCCTCACCTGGCTGCCTGGCAGCCCAAGGGGAGGGAGGAAGGCGAGAGGAGGCTCAGGGTACGGCAGCTCCTGCCCGTGCCGGCAGAAGCTACGTGATGACCCTGGCGATGGCCTGCAGGGAGGGGAAGTCATCGTCCCGGGCAGCGTGCAGCGCCTGGTGACTGCTGACGTCGCCGTGTGCCAGCACCTGCTGGCAGGTAGGGCAGACGCAGCAGTCCAGGCCTGTCGTCTGGGTGCTGGCCTGCCACGCGCTCTTCTTGCTCTTCTTGGACTTGGTGCCTGGAGGCTTCTCGTGGCTGCAGAAGTCTGTGTGCGCCAACAGCAGCTCCTGCTGCTTGACTGTGTCGGGCAAGAGCACCAGCAGCTCGCTGAAGATCTTCTGGAAGCTCTCCCCAAGCAGCTCCCAGCAGGTCTTGTAATACTGGGCTGCGGAGATCACGCCCTGCCAGGACAGCTAGACTGTCACAGCCTGTCCAGGCCCGGCCCGGGCAAACTTGGGCTGGCCCCCACCGCGCTACACCCCCTGACCTGTCTGAACTCCCCCGAGCGACTCTTGAATTTACTGAAGCGGGCCTCGTCGCTCTGCAGAAAATCCTTGATGGACTGGATCAACTTCAGGTTCCTCTCCCGGAAGTTCTCGGGGACCAGGTAGGCCCGGGGTGGGGGGGTCAGCCTGGGCCTGAGTCAGGAGGCAAGGAGGATGTGACAGCTCAGCCTTCAGAGTGGCCCAAGGCAAGGGGACTCTTGGCTAGGCAGCCCACCCACACTTACGCTTTTGTGGTGGTGTTGGGCACGCAGGCTGGCTGCGGGCTGGGCAAGAAGCTGGAGAAGCCGGGAGGTGGCTTGCTCACGGTGGTTGCCAGCCCAGGCGGGGGCGGGGGTGGGGGCGGTGCACCCTTCAGCAGCACCACAGTGTTGAACCCTGTGGCGGCAGTACAGTACGGCTCAAAAATACAGCCATAGCTGACCAGGTACAGCCACGCTCACCGCTCACCATGTCAGCCCTGATCCCAGCCACCGCATTAACCCCCGCAGCACCCACCAGGTGCGAAAACCGAGGAAATAATCACAGGGCTGTCAGGTGCTGCCTGGGGTTGGGCTCACGGAGGGTGCCGCAGGCTTCCGAGGCCGCTGGGACCACCATACACGCTGACGTCCCTCACCCAGCCCTGCCCACCTGGCGGTGGCCCCTTCCTTCCTACCAGAAACCCCCCAGCAGACGCACCTGGGGGAGGCGGCATCCTGGGCGGGCAAGGGCCACCAAGCGCCGGGAAGTCTTCCTGGGGTGTGGGGCAGGGCGGGGGCCCCAGGGGCCGCGGGAGCCCGGGGGGTTCCTCAGGGGCGCTGTGCGCCAGGGCTGGTCCCTCCACGTGTCCGTTGACGATGGCAGCAGCCGGCCCCTCCGCTCTGCCGAGGGCGGTGGGGACCTGCTCAGCCCCAGGTGGCCCATCTTTGTCGGGGGCCTTTGGGGTGTGGTCGAGGGACGGGGGCGATGTGGCCCCGGGCTTCTCAGAGCCCATCTTCTTCTTGCGGCTGCCCTTGGCCACGGGCTGGGAGGAGGCCAGTGCCAGCAAGGACGAGCTGCGCAGCTCCTGTGAGACCGTCTCCTCCTCCTCTTTCCGGCCACCCTGACCACTCCCCTTCCCGGCTTTCCTGGTGGACTGGCCCCCCCCGGCAGCCGGGACCCCCAAGGAGGCCCGTGTCACCTTCTTGCTGCTGTTCCAAGCAGAGACTATGCTAGTGGGGGCAGCGCCAAGCCGGGACGTCGAGGACACCAGGGCGGGGAAGTCTTCCTCCTGAAACGTGCCCCTGCCCCTGGCGGGAACGGGATACGTGAGCGCCAGCCCCGCAGGGCCAGGGACAGCTGGTGTGGGGCAAGAGGACAGGCTGGGGAAGTCCTCGTCCTTGAGCTTTGGCTCAGGCGGCAGGGTGCTGAGGCAGGGAAGGAGAACCAGTTAGTGGCTTGCGGGATTGCCTACCCTCATTCACCCTCCCAGCGTGCCTCACCCAACCCCAGACAGAACACGCACACACGCACACACGCACACACACCTAGGAGGCGGAAGCCCTGCAGCTGGAGTCGAGGCGGGGAAAGCCTCTTGGCTCACAAGACCATTTGTCGAGGCTTCCTTGGGGCCTGTGAGAGAGAAGAGAGAGAACCCCACATCACAGCCCACGTCAGTGTCGGGGTGGGGCATGGCCGTGTGGGAGTGGGCACTCAGGGCCCTCATCACCATTGTGGGGCCACGGCATTGGGGTGCTGTGGTCAGGGGGCACCTCCCACCTCAGGTGTCCGGCAGAGCCCCAGGGGCCGCTCACCTGGACCTTCGGCCTGGGTGCGGGGTGAGCGCCGGGCACCCCGTGGCTCCTCGGACACCCGTGCCGCTGCCTCCTCCTTGGCCCGGCTGCCCTCCTCACGGTCCTCACTCCTGTGCTTCTCTTCTTGCTGCTGCATGGCCACCGAGGCCCGGACGGCCGCCGCCACATCCCGATCCTCCTCCTCCCTGGGGATGGGGACAGCTTTAGCCGGGGTGAAGTGGGGCCTAAACCAAGAGCTCTGGGTTGATCTGGGATCTGATCTCCTGATCCCGCCGGGCAGCAGGGGCAGCCTGGGCATGGGCCCTCTGTGCTGGCGTTTTATGGCGCAGCTGCAGTGAATCCCTGTGACCAGGCCCTTCTCACCCACTGTTCCCAGGCTTTGTGGGGAGGGTCCTGCTGTCACTGTGAAGACTATGCAGAGGACAAAGAAAAAGCCCTGAAGCCAAGGTGCCCCAGACCCCATGCCTGTCCCCAGCCCGGCTGCCAGCCGCGGCCACCACTTCAATGTGCTGGTGCCAGGAGAAGGTCAGCGGCCAGAAAGCCTCCCACCTTTTGTACCTCCAGCTTCCACGGCGGCTCTGTTGGGATCCACGCATTCCGGCCCGGCCTGCTCGGCCCTGGCGGTTGTACCTGTCCACCTCCTCATAGTCCTCACCGCTGACGACCCCTATGGCCAGCACGTGGTCCATCACTGCCTGGACTGTGGGCAGCAAGTCCCACCCACCTTCCCCCAGGTCAGACCGAAAAGGTGCCCCCACAAGACGTCAGCCCGTGGGGAGGGGACTCCACGCAGGGGCCCCTGGCCCAGTCCTACACACAGCAGGCCCTCGATCAATGCCTCCTGACCCAGGGGAAAACCCTAGAGACCCGAGCTTAACCCTGCCAGAGCCCACACAGCTGGCAAGAACACAGAGGCACAGCCAATGCCCTCCTTCGGCCTGCTGCAATGGGGCGACGGATCTGGAGGGGCAGGGTCCAAGGCCTTCAGAGCAGGGCCCCGGCTACCCCACCCTGCCTAGGACCCTGCTCAGCATGGAGTGGGACCTGCTCACCCTCGGCCCGGCGCGGGTGCCGGGGAGTGTAGTTGAATTGCAGGTCGATCTGGCGGTTCTGGCGGGCCTCAGCGCGGCTGCGGCTGTGGCAGGCGGTCCGGTGGGCCTTGAGGTCGATCTCGGTGCGGAAGGCGTGGGTGAACTGCTCAGTGCTGCAGCGACCCTCCTCACACAGGAAGTGCTTCTCCCGGAAGTGCTCTCGCAGGTACGCGTAGTCACTGGCCGCAGGATGGGCAGGTGGAGGTCAGGAGGGGTTCCACTCCACCCGATGGGTGGGCGGCCCCCCGTGCCTCTGCCCCACCCACTCTGGGGCCTGCGCCCTCCCCACCTGTAGTAGTCCTGGGCACCGTCCGCGTCGCAGAAGTGGCAGAAGTAGTGGTCACGGCGCAGGTGCTTGAGCAGCTCGTCGTTGTCCAGGTAGCGCTCGTCGCAGAACTTGCAGAGCGGGTGCCCGCGGTGCGACGTGTCGTCTGGGTCCCCCAGCATGCGGTGCCGCGCCAGGTCCTTGCGCGAGTACCACTTGCGCTCATATGTGAAGATCTGCAGAGAAGGGGGCAGGGCTCGCGAGGGGCTCCTCAGGCCTCCCTCCCCTCCTGCGGGCCAGCATCGAGCAGCCACGGGCGGACAGCAGAGGTGGGCCAGGATGGCGCCAGCCCTGAGCCCCCAACACCAGGAGCCTGGTGGGCCACGTGCCCCCAGGAGCCCTGCCCGGCTGCGTTGGAGAGGAGCTCAGAATGAGAACACCCACCCCAGGGCGTGTGACGGGAGAGAGGGTGCCCTGGGGGCTGGCAAGTGGACAAGTCCCCACCCCTGCCCAACCCCAGGATCATCTAGACCCTGCCACTGCACAGAGACCTGCCACTCCCTCCCCCAGGCCTCCCTGGGGCCAGGGGAGCGAGGAGAACGGGGCGGCGGGGAGGGCGGGCCCACCTTGAGGTGCTTGAGGCACAGCTTACAGCAGAAGAGCTCGTGCTGCCTCCGCATGTGCTGCTCCAGGTCACCAAAGAGGCTGAAAGACGGAAGCGCGGAGCACTGCGGGCACTCATGCTGCAGCAGCTGCCTGGGGACATCAGGGACGCTGTGTCAGCTCCCAAGAATGTGTACCAGATGGCGCTGGGCCCACGGTCCAGGAGTCTGCACCCCATGCTGCAGAGAGCACGGCTGAGCCGCCC